ACCAAAAAACAAAAAACTGGAAGTATTATGCTCCCTGATTTCAAACTATATTGTAAAGACACAGTAACCAGAACAGTGTGGTTTGGGCATAAAAACTGACACACAGATCAATGGAATAGAGCCCAGAAATAAATCCACAATTATATGGTCAATTAATCTACGACAAAGGAGGCAAGAATATACAATGGGGAAAGGACAGTCTCTTTCATAGATGGTGGCTGGAAAACTGGACAGCCACAAAAGAATGACAGGGGACCATACTTTATACTATGCACTGTAAGTATGTGCATTCAAAAACTGTAATACAGATCATTTTTCCTGTTTTCTTTTAAAAAAGAATTTCAATTTTTTCTACAAAGAACTTGGTTTGCTTTTATAAGACAAAATTTGAAATCATAAGGTCATCATTGAATTTGAACAGAAGATCTACAGGTGACAAATTCATGAATACTCTCCCAGTTTTATTCTCTTGATTCATTCCTTCTAATTACTAAGCACCTCTCTTATGTTCACTGTTCTAGGTGGTAGATATACAGCAATAAACAAATCTTCGTGTCAGGAATCATTCAAACCCCACAGTCTCCCTGAGGACGACATTTCTCTTCTCTAATACGTGAGGGTCTGCAATCTGCTAGGCTCTGCATTTGGAGTGGACATCTAAACGTTTATTCAAGACCAAGAGAGGTTGGGGGTGCCTGGGTGGCTCAGTCGGTTAAGCGCCCGACTTCGGCTCAGGTGGTGATCTCGGGGTCCATGGGTTGGAGCCCCACATCGGGCTCTGTGCTGACAGCCCAGAGCCTGGAGCCTGTCTTCAGATTCTGTGTCTCCCTCTCTCTCTGTCCCTTCCCAGCTCGTGCTCTGTGTCTCTGTCTCAAAAATAAATAAACGTTAAAAAAAAATTAAAAAAAAAAAAAAAGACCAAGAGAGGTTGACTTCAAAACTGTTTAAAGTAGGCCCAAGGATATTTTAATGTGTTTTTTTTTTTAATGTTCCTTTACTTTTGAGAGAGAGAGCTCGCACAAGAGGGGAGGGTCAGAGAGAGAGGGAGACACAGAATCTGAAGCAGGCTCCAGGTTCTGAGCTGTCAGCACAGAGCCCAACACGGGGCTTGAACGCATGAACCGAACTGTGAGATCATGACCTGAGCCGAAGTCGGACGCTCAACCCAGTGAGCTACCCAGGTGCCCCTAGGCCCAAGGATTCTTAAACCTCAAACCAAAATTTCCGTTCTCACATGTACGCTCTCAGACGAATCAATCACAAATGAGCAGAAATCTTGAAAATGAGGGAAACATAGAAATTCACCACAGATCTACTGATGAAGATAATCAGCGTGCTCTCGCCAATTGCAGAAACCTCCCCAAGCAGCTCACTAGCCCAGGAACCAGCCCCCACTATCCTACTCCTCTTGTCTAAAATTCATGCAGTGTTTACTATGAATCAGGCGCTTTTCTGGGTCTTTTACTAACTGAATCTTCACAATACCCCTATGAGATCATCATTTTATAAATAAGGACACTGAAGCATGGAGACGAGATTAACATACAGGGATAATTTTGGATGAACCAGCACCAGGCAAAACTGCAAAGCAAGCGCACTTTGTCTTTGGCCTTCTACTTGCTCCATGTCTGTTTCAGTTCCAGAGACTGTGAGGACCTCCGAGCTGGGACCGCGCATCCAGCGCCTGACCCAGCACTCTATGTTCAAGCAACTATTGAACATTTATGCTTTCCTTTCCCTTTGGTTTCTTTCTCTCCAAACACCCCAGAAAGAGGAGCCTTCTTTGTCTCATCATTTCTCTAAATTTGCTGTTAAATAATTCCTGCTAAGGCATTACCCCAAATGAATTATGTTCTATTAGACATGCCTTGTATCCATAGGCTTCCAGTTTCCTCATTTCATCAGAGACCTTCTTCTCTTCAATGGTTGGTGACTGTATTTCAGCTGTTTAACATGAGCCACTATGTTAAAAAAGTACTAGGTACTAATAGGACTTCCACACTGCATTCAGGTCCCTGCCTCAACTAAGAGGTGTCCCCTGACCTCTCTATTTAAAAAAGTAGCACACCATTCTCTAGCCTCTTAGACCACTTTATTTTTATCACTCCATTCATCCATATCCTTGAGGATATTTACTAATTATTTTCTATGTTCTATCTTGCCTTCTAACTTGTAAACCGCATGACAGCAGGGCCTTGATCTGGATTACTGTTGTCATGCTACACTAAAACAGGGGCGGGCCGGAGTAGGCTCTCATATATTTGCTCAATCAACTATAAATCATATTGTCTTTTTTAATATTCAGGCAAGGTAACTCTCCCTTTAAAAAAAAAAAAATACTGCCACGGGTCACCTGGGTGGCTCGGTCCGTTGAGTTGGCTGAGCGGCTGACGCTGGCTCAGGTTATGATCTCATGCGTCAGGACTTCCAGCCCCACACTGGGCTCCCAGCTGTCAACACAGAGCCTGCTTCAGATCCTCGGTCTTCCCCTCACTCTGCGCCGCCACCCCCCCCCCCCCCCGTCCCCACGCTCGCTTTCTCTCAAAAACAAACAAACATTTGGGGCGCCTGGATGGCTCAGCTGGTTAAGCAACCGGCTTAGGCTCAGGTCATGATCTTGCGGTTGGTGGGTTCGAGCCCCGCGTCGAGCTCTGTGCTGACAGCTAGCTCAGAGCCTGGAGCCTGTTTCGGATTCTGTGTCTCCCTCTCTCGGACCCTCCCCTGCTTGCACTGTCTCTCTCAGAAATAAATAAAACATTTAAAAAAATACTTCCTAAAGAAATACCACCACAATTTAATGAGGCTGAAGACAAAGAGGCAGAAGAGAACACAAACAAATCTTAAAACATTAATTCGATGGAAGAAACCTTAACAAAATCTTGGGTTTTCTCTCTCACTTCAGGCTGAAGGTATAGGTGCTGAAATGTAAACATGTGCAAATGTTTTAGTTTGAGCCTGGTGGTTAACACAACAAAAAGAGCCGCAGGAAATTTTGGCAATTTTGGCAATCGACAGGCTTCTGCTGTTTTTAGTTTTGAAAAGCACAAGTTAGGAGTCTGTCAGGTTTCATTTAGATTAAAACACCTAATTTATCATCTAACCAGATGCACAATATCCATCTAAAGTCAAAGTTAATTTATGTTAACTAGTATTGACTTCTTCATCTAGCTGAGTCTAACTTCACCGCAGATAATTACATCATCCAAACACTATGGGGACAGGAAAAAACTTCGCTAAACTAAGAAATTGCCAGGCTGGCTTACTAAGTTTAAAGCTTGACGGGGTGCCTGGGTGGCTCAGTCAGTTAAGCATGGGACTCCTGATTTCAGCTCAGGTCATGATCTCAGTTTGTGGGTTTGAGCCCTATGTGATGACGGTGTGGAGCCTGCTTGGGAGTCTCCCTCTCTTTGTCTCTTTCTGCCACTCCCCTGCTTGCATGTTCTCTCTCTCAAAATAAAAAATTAACTTAAAAAAAAAAAAAGCTTGAAAGCAGACTTCTTGCTTGTTTCTTCAACCCCAAAAGACTGTTAAGGGCATAAATACCCCAAGAATGTTCTGCAAGTAAATCCTAGTAGTGCTCACTCATCATACAAAAAAGGAAAGACTTGTATAACACAAACCTAACAGATGTAAGAAAGTATTTTATATCTATGGCACTCTTTCCTCAAATCGGCTTTAAAAAAACTAAAAAAACAAACAAACCAAAAAACCCCAAACCCCAACCTGTTAACAGGTTAAATGCCCTGTAACAACTTTATTTTTCTTAAAGAATTTAAACAGTATTTTAATGCTATTCAAGTCACACAAATAGCCTTTTCAAAGAGCTTGTGGCTTGTCTAATAGGAAAAGATTCTAAGAGACTGTTACCAGAAAAAAGAACTCCAATTCCAACAACCAGATTGCTTTGAGGGCTGCCCAATTACTGTCGATGCTTTCTCCTCAAAAGTTAAGGCCCATCTCAGAACTGCAAATACTCATTTCTAATTCTTTAAACTTTTGGATAAGGAAACAGCTGTTTTGGGGGGGCGGGGGGGGGAGAAGTGGTAAGAAAAAAAAAAACTCCCCAAGTAGTGAGAACACAAAATAACTATTACCTCATTTTAAAAACAGCCTTCTAGGTTTCTTTATATGTCCTAAGGCAAGCCCTTAAAAAGGAAGATAAAAAGGGAAACCCATTAACAAAAAACGGTGGTAGAACCCATCAACAAAAAAAAAGTCCACTGGGTCCTTACTACGGACAAAGCATTCGACTGGGCTGTGAAATGACCAAGAACAAAGATTTCACTCCCACGAGAGAGAAGTTTTAGAACAAGTGGATGTCGTTAGGGAATTTTCTATTTTCACGTACACTTCATTGGTAGGCTCTGCGAGCCAAACTCCGAACAATTCCTCTCGCAGCCATGCCCTACTTCACGTCCAGATTTGTTGAACCGACTTACATCACAGTTTTCAAAGAAAACAACATGCACTATACTCTTAAGGCAAAGTTACCGTTAAAAGCAAAACCCAGCCTTTTGAGACACGCACAGGCATCGCCCAGGACACTAAGATCTCCAAGCCTTGACCGAGTAAGTCCAACCGCTTAGGGAGGAAGCAGGCGGCGCGGCCCCCGAGCCCGGGCGCACGCAGCAGCCGCCCGCGGCTGAAGGACACAAGGTTTTGCTCTGAGGGCCGGCAGGCAGGCGCCGGACAGCTCCGACCAGGCCTGGGGGACAGACGAAGGACTCGCGGTGGCGGACGCCGGTCCCGTGCCCATAAAGGAAAGCGGGAGGTGAGGAGCCGCGGGGACACGCACTGAGAAACGCGCCCTCAAGTCTGCCGGATTTAACGCCCCGAAATGAAAAGGACCATATGTCTCGTCCGGGTACGGTCGCGTTCGGCCCGTCCCCCCCACCCTGCGGGACTCCCGGCGGAGCTCCGCGGAGGAAGCCGCTCGGGGGGCTCGGAGTCGGCCTCCCGCCCCTCACGGCCGCTTGGCCCGCGGCGCCCCAGGACCTCACCTGCGGGGCCGGCCCCGGAGGCGCGGGCGGGCGGCGGGGAGCGCAGCCGCAGCCAGAGGTGCAGCGCGGCCCCGAGCACACAAGGGCACAGCAGCACCAGCCAGTTTCGCATTGGCCGCCCCCGCCGGCTCCACCTCGCGCCCCCGCCGCGCGCCGGGCTCTCCCGCGTCCCGGCGGAGAGGGAGGGGACCTGCGAAGAGAAAGGCCGAGGGGCGGCGGCAGACGCACGCGCGACCACTCCGGGCACGCCTGCCCTCGCGCCCGCCGCTGTCCAGACTCCTGACGCCTCCCGGCCCCGCGCCTCAGGTTCCTCCAACAGCGGGCGGCGCCGGCTCCGCTGCCCAGGCCCCGCCCCCTCCGCTGGGCCTACACCCCCCCCCCCGGCCCGCCCACCTTTCCTCTTACTCGCCCCGCCCCCTTCTCTCGTGTCCCCTCCAGCGCCCGGAGGCCAGTCGGGAGCTGAAGTCCCGCTCTGGGCCCAGGCAAGGGGCGCATCCCAGTAATCCCGAGGCTTGGAAACCACATTTCCCATAACTGCCTGCACTTGCTTCCGTCACTCGGCGGTCGGGGAGGCGAAGCGCGAAGCCCCACATGGAGCATGCGCATCCCTTCTCACCGCCTACTGCCCCCCGACGGCCGAGGGGAGGCGGTGCAGGTCGCCCAGGTGCTCGGGGGCCGCCTGGACCCGGAGAGGGAAACGCTGTCGAGGCGAAGGCTCCCAGCTGCTTCGGATTTAAAGATCTGCGTGAGGCTGGTTTTAGACCACGCAGAGCTCCGTTGTGCGAATGCTGGCCTTCTCTGGGAGGTGGGATCCTGCTGACGTCTCCTGGGCCCGAGAGCGGGCCGGGGCGTGTGTCTTCAGCGGTGAATCATCCATCAATTAGTTCTGGTGCACCGTGTACCCGGCTCCTTGCCCAGCCCTGTCCTCTGGGAGTTCAGGTTGGGGACACACCCAGGGGTCCAGCTGTAGAGTAGGACAGCGGCGATCCAGTCGGGGGTGAAATTCCACGTGCCCCCGATTCAGATCGGGGAGTGCACTGGGCGTGGGGGCACCTCCCCCAGGACAGAGCCGTGACGCGGGTCCCGTGGGAAGGATGTGAGCAGCCCTCCTCGGAGACCCGGCCCAGCCCGGCGTCTTGCAGCGCGGCCCCGGGACAGAACCCCCCAGGGCCCCCATGGGCCAGACGCACGAGGGCCCGGGTTGAGGCCGTGGGTGCAGTCGGGCGCTCAGGCTAAAAAGTGGAGGGAAGGATGAAAAGGAATGCCTGCCGTTGGGGGGGGCGGGGGGCGGTTCGTTTTGTTTTTAATTTCCGCAAGTTGTGAGTAAAGTCTTGGTTGAAAGCCATAGAAAATCCATTTCAAACAAGCTTAAGGGGAAAGAAGCTAAGATGTCTCAGGCACTAGCAGTATCATACTTTTGTTGAGTGGCAATTTAATCTCAGCAAAACAACCTATTAAAATCACATTTTAAAAAGTTTTTTTAATGTTTTATTTATTTCTGAGAGAGAGAGAGAGAGACAGCATGAACAGAGGAGGGTCAGAGAGAGAGGGAGACACAGAATCTGAAACAGGCTCCAGGCTCTGAGCTAGCTGTGAACATAGAGCCTGATGCGGGGCTCGAACCCACAAACCGTGAGATCATGACCTGAGCCTAAGTCGGATGCTCAACCCACTGACCCACCCAGGGGCCCCTAAAATCACATTTTTTAAAAAGTAGGCTCCACACCCAAAGTGGGGGCTTGAACTCAAGACCTTGAGATTAAGGGTCACATGCTCTACCAACTGAGTCAGCCAGGCGCTCCTAAAATTACTTTTCAGTTGAATGTTTTGTAATGTTGTCTGTACTCTATTTAATTTTAAAATCTCTTTTGGTTTAATAGTTGTATAGAAGCTCTATGTTTGTACTTAAAAAAATAAAAACAATTTAATGTGCTGTGTGAATTGTTTTTCCCTGTAAAGGGATTTGTATATGTTTTAATTATCTATTGCTACGTAACAAATTATTCCAAAACTTTTATTTTTTTTAATGTTTATTTATTTTGAGAGAGAGCACATGCAAGCAGGGGAGGGCCAGAGAGAGGTGGGGGAGAGAGAATCCCAAGCAGGCTCTACACTGCCAGCGCAGAGCCACACAGGGCTTGATCCCACAACCGGTGAGATTAGGATCTGAGCTGAAACCAAAAGTTGAACTCTTAACCAACAAGACACGAGGCACCCTGCTCCAAAACTTTAAAACAGTAATTATTATCTCTTACAATTTCTGTGAGTCAGGAATTTGGGGGCTAAGTTCTGGTTCAGGGTCTCCCATAAAGTTGCTGGGGCTGTGGTCATCTGAAGGCTTGAGGTGCTGGAGAATCGACTTCCTACGTGGTTTACTTCCATGGTTGGCAAAGCGGTTCTGCCTTTTGGCCCAAGTTCCTCTCTGAGTGGACTTCTCCCACAAGATGCTTTAATGTCCCCACACCATAATGGCTTGCTTCCCCAGGAGTTGTAGATCCAAGAGACCAGTGCAGATGGTTACAAAGACCACCCTGATTCACTGAGGTGGGGGGGGCGGGGGAGGGGAGGACCAGAGAAGGATGTGAGTACCAGGAAGCAAGGATCATTGTGGGTCATGTTAGAGATTGACTACCCCAGTGTATTATGGGAATTGGAGAAACATTGTCTCTAAGCAGTTTGGGGAGTCAATAGGGGCCCCTACATACTCACCATGGCCCCTAAATACTCCCAAGACAAGAAAGCACAATATTTTCTTCTTTTGGGAAACAATTAGCAGGCTGTGATCTTTGTGGCTCTTGGACAAATGTCACCAAGATCTGTGTGCCCCTTTCCCAGAATGTCTACAGGCAGCACTAAGGAAGGAGGGTGTGTAGTGTGTACAAACTTCTCGTTAGAAATTCTTTGTTTAGAAACTATGCCAACCTACTCTGCATTTTTAAAAAGATTTTATTTTTAAGTAATCTCTATACCCAATATGGGGCTCAAATTCACAACCCCAAGATCAAGAGTCACATGCTCCACTGACTGAACCAGCCAGGTGCCTCTGCTCGCTACATTTTACTGAAAGAAATAGTTAACAATTGGTTGTTACTAGGGGTGTCCAGCTTTTCATCTTTAGAAAGGGTAGTAGAAGCGCACACTGATTTACATAAAATTCACATACAATTCACCCTGTCGGCAGAATCCACAACTTCTGGGGTGGTGAATGGCAGGTAGGGTATAGAGCATGCGGGTGAGACCACCCCAGTATCCAGGCACAGCCCCGTGGACTGACCTCAGTGCTTTGCCAGGGGGTACCCTACCTCTGGGTACCTGCAGGCAAGTTGTGAGGGGCCCCAGGGCAGCAAATTTTTGAAAAGAAAGATGGGGCACCTGGGTGGCTGAGCCAGTTAAGCATCTGACCTCAGCTCAGGACATGATCTCCCAGCTGATGAGTTCAAGCCCCATGTCCAGCTTTGTGCTGTCAGCTCAGAGCCTGGAGCCTGGTTCAGATTCTGTGTGTCCCTCTCTCTGCCACTCCCTGGCTCACAGTCTGTCTGTCTGTCTGTCTGTCTGTCTCTCTCTCTCTCTCAAAAATAAACATTTAAGAAGGAGGAGGAGGAAGAGAGAGAAAGAAAGAAAAAGAAAAGAAAAGAAAGAAAAGAAAGAAAGGTGGGTAGTAAAAGGCTTCTGCTGATATCCTAACATTTTAATTTTGTGGTTAAAGAATTGTAATGAGTTAACCCCAAAAGAGAAATAATCTCTCATTTAGGCAGATCTATTTAGTCGACAAATCTTTAACTATTATGTGCCAGGCACTTTGGTAGGTACTTTGATAAATCGATGAACAAAACAAAGATCCCTGTCTGGTGGTGGGGGCGGGGCCGACTGTAGACTACAGATCAAATACAGGAATACATTTTAGCAGCATGTAGATGATGATAAGTGTTACAGAAAATAGGAAAAGTGGAGGAGGGTAAGGAAGGCGGGAATGCAGCGCTGGGGCAGACTGCGGCCTTAAATAGCATTTAAACAACTGTTCACAAAGTTACAGTGAGCGCTAAAAGGAGGGATACAACCATCCTAACACAGGGCGCTAATTAAGATGTTGTTCCTTCAATTGGGGCGCCTGGGTGGCTCAGTCGGTTAAGCGTCTGACTTCGGCTCAGGTCATGATCTCACGGTTCGTGGGTTCGAGCCCCGCATCGGGCTCTGTGCTGACAGCCAGCTCACAGCCTGGAGCCTGCTTCAGATTCTGTGTCTCCCTCTCTCTCTGACCCTCCCCTGCTCACGCTGTCTCTCTCTCTCAGAAATAAACATTAAAAAAAAATTTTTTTTTTAAAAAGATGTTGTTCCTTCAATTACTAAAATGCTTTGACCCACAGGGGGAACCTCACTGAGAAGCCTGTACCAGAGCTTTTGGTAACTTTTTAGCACACAGTTACTCCCCACAGTGAGAGCTGCTCTATCACCTGTTCCATAGGACCAGTGACCCTTGCACTTGCTTGGTGTCTACTGTCCCCTAATAAACTCAAGACTAAGGTAGGTAAAGATCAGAAGAGAGACAATGTGCAGAATGGAAAGAATAATTTTTTTTTTTTTCAAAACCGGATGATGTAAAAAGCCTGTGTGTGAGTGAAGGTACTCCTAGTTTAAGATGTGAAGGGGTAAGTGGAGAATTAGGATTAGGGTGAACTGGTTGATTGGTCACCCATGTTGCATTTCAGTGTAACCAGAGAAAGGGATCACAGGGTTGTGTCCGCACAAAGCAGGAGGTATCTGACCAAGCCCAGGGTGTCCCAGGGAAGGTCATCCCTTGAAAACACAGGGCTGGAACTTGAAATCAAACAGGCCTGTTAGGAAGGCCGGAGGACGAGAATGGCATCTGAGAACACTTTAGTCAAAATTAAATAAGTAATTAAAACAAATACCCCCTAGATAGTGATGACATCGTGATCAGGAAAATGCAAGCAATTTGGCCTGACCCTAAGAGAGTTAGGACTGGAAATGGGGAGAAGGCGATCAGGAAACAGGCCAGATCGTCATCATGTGCTATGCTAAGGAATTTGGATTTTATCTGGAAGACTTGAGGAATGATTTTTTTTTTCTGACTACAAAAGTAATACATGATGATAAAAAGGAATTTGGAAAGTATAGAAAAACATAAAGAAGAAACAAAATCAGAGGCGCCTGAGTAGCTCAGTCTGTCGAGTGTCCAACTTTGGCTCAGGTCATGATCTCACAGTTCATGAGTTCAAGTCCCGTGTCAGGTTCTGTGCTGACAGCTTGGACCTGAAGCCTGCTTC